CATTAATTATGCTTCTAGAATGCTACTTCTAGCTGCCCATTTTTCTGTCTTCTCTCTTGCTACTCTACTTTATTGTCCTCATTAAATAAATATTTTTGGCTTCCAGTTCCCCTGCTGTGTAACTTTTATATCTTTCTCTTTGGTAAGATCAGTTTGAGTTTCCCAGGTCTATCTTTAGCCTAGGAAAGTAAATTTTTATAATCTAGATGTCCGATTTTCTGTTTTTGGTTTTCACAATACTTATTCTGTGCTTTGATAACATTCTACTTTGTTAGTTTCCAGATATATGTACTGCCTTAATGTTATTTCCTCTGCCCAGAAGGTGTTTCCTTTGATATCACTTGTCAGAATCCTCACTGTGATACAATAATAGTTTCTTATGACTGCCACAACAAACTACCACCAAATTTGTGGCTAAAATTAATAGAAATATATTGTCTCAGTTCTAGAAACCAGAAATCTGAAATTAGGGTATTCCTATGGTATTTATTGCCTTTTATATTAGTTGTGTTTCCTCTACACATTGCTTGCTCCTTGAGGGAAGGAGTTGTGAGTTTTTGATTGATACCTGTTATGTGACATAGTTTGATTTTCAATAAGGATTGGCTTGATGAGAAAACATCAAATAAGTAGACATAGAAATATCAGAGAAGATTGTAGATCACCAGGCATTGTTTTTCACTCTGCTATTAAATCCAGGCTCTTCTATGATGAAAATGAAAAAAAAAAGTGGCCTCTTTTTAGGTCACTTTGAAGTTCCAACATAAATATAGTGACTAAACCTAAAATAGTAGACTAAAAATTCCTTATTTTATTTTATTTTGTTTTGAGATAGGGCTTACTGTTTAGTTCAGGCTGGCCTCAAATTTGTGGCAATCCTCCTGCTTCAGTCTCCTGAGCTGGAATTTACTGGTTTGAGCTACCATATCTGGTTTTAAATATTTCTGATTTTATTTTATTATTTTTAAAAAAACATTTCTGATTTTAATAACAATGTCTCTTGTGCTCAGACAGTTGACAGCCACAGGTTTGGGAGTGGGAGATGGGAAGTTGGGTTGCATTGTGTTCCTGGGGAATTGGACGCTGGACTGTGTACCCTGGGCTTGGCTTGTGCCTGCAGTGCTTCCCCTATTTTGTTTACACAGGAAAGATCCATACACCAATGGAGTACAAGGGGGAATTAGCTTCCTATGATATGCGGCTAAGGTAAGCAGGTTCGAGGGCTTGGGTCATAGTGGCTGCTGGGCACGTGGCCCAGAGCTGATGTCTGTCCATTCTCAGGCGTAAGTTGGACTTGTTTGCCAACGTAGTCCATGTGAAGTCCCTTCCTGGGTACATGACTCGGCACAACAATCTAGATCTGGTGATTATTCGAGAGCAGACAGAAGGGGAATACAGCTCTCTGGAGCATGAGGTGAGGCCCTGGAAATGGGGAGCCAAATATGAGGCAGAAGAAAGGTGAAACTGTTTGTTGCCTTTCTTCCCATTGTCACTTAGCTGCTTTCCTTCTCATCTAGAGTGCAAGGGGTGTGATTGAGTGCTTGAAGATTGTTACTCGAACCAAATCTCAGCGGATTGCAAAGTTTGCCTTTGACTATGCCACCAAGAAGGGGAGGAGCAAGGTCACAGCTGTCCACAAGGCCAATATCATGTGAGGGGCATGGCTTTGCATGGGAAGGATTCCTGGGGAGTTGGCCCCTTGTACTTTCCTGGTTGACTTTATTACCTTTGGCTTGTAAACAGGAAACTTGGGGATGGGTTGTTCCTACAGTGCTGTGAGGAAGTTGCTGAACTGTACCCCAAAATCAAATTTGAGACAATGATCATAGACAACTGCTGCATGCAGGTGAGACCATCCTTAGTCTCCACTGTCATGGTGCTGAGGTGGAGTGGGGAATGGGATTCACCTGTCTGCTTTATGCCCACATCTCACCCCACAGCTGGTGCAGAATCCTTACCAGTTTGATGTGCTGGTGATGCCCAACCTCTATGGAAACATTATTGACAATCTGGCTGCTGGCTTGGTTGGGGGCGCTGGTGTGGTCCCTGGTGAGAGCTACAGTGCAGAGTACGCAGTTTTTGAGACAGTGAGTGTGGGCATTTTCTTTCTCATCTGTATCTCCCTCCCTTTGACCTCAAGTCTTCTATTCCTCCTTTATTGCAATACCTGTCTCTCCCCCCCACCCCATGATCCTCCCGTTTCTCCCCATCTCCGTGTCTCTTCTTAGTGACACTGGCCTAACCTCTACTATAGTGCTCTTTCTGGATCTCAGCCTCTGTAGGTGCACACCTCCTCTCAGTGACTTTGCCTTTTCTTTTCCCACAGGGTGCCCGACACCCCTTTGCCCAGGCAGTGGGCAGGAATATAGCCAACCCCACGGCCATGCTGCTGTCAGCTTCCAACATGCTTCGGCATCTCAAGTAGGTTGAAACAGGCCTCGGGTAGAGGCTGGGTATAGTTAGGGGCGTGCAGGTGGGGAACTTAGGGAGGAATTCTGAGAGCCTGATTTTCTTCCTGTCCTCATCAACAGTCTTGAGTATCACTCCAGCATGATTGCAGATGCGGTGAAGAAGGTGATCAAAGTTGGCAAGGTGAGTTTAGAAAGGTGTTGGGTTCAGGGCTGTGGCACTACACCCTGAGAAACCTGAACGGGCTTCCATTCTCACCAGGTTCCCGGAATACCTGCTTCATTACTCTCAGGGCTCTGGACCTCCCTCCTCTTGGCTGTTTTATCCTCTTGGTCTTTGCCTCCTTTTAGTTCCCTTGTGCTATGCCCTCTTCTGCTGTATCCATTGCCCCTTTCATGGGCCATCTGAATGCAGAAGGGTGTAGCTATTTGGGGTGGTGCAGCGGGGCCAAAAGCAGGCAGGGTGAGGTGCCAGCCTCACTTTCTTCTCCTTGCTTGGAAGCCCATCACTTCCTTTTTTCTCTCCTGGACTTTTGTCGTTTCCTGAGGTAACCTCACCCTCTCTGGTGGGCACTTTACAATTGCTCCCTTCTGCTCAGCCTCTGTAGCATAGCTCTGGCTCAGAACAAGCAGCTCCTTTCCCCTCACCTTGCAGCCTCTTTCATCTCTACTGTAGCAGTCTTTTCTGGCCCTCCAGCACTTTGGGGTCCTAGGTCCCAGGTCTCTGATCACATTGCCCTACCCTGCTTCATGGGCTCTCTTCTTTTTTTCCCCACGGCTGTTGCCGGTGGTGGCTGTAGGTGCGGACTCGAGACATGGGCGGCTACAGTACCACAACGGACTTCATCAAGTCTGTCATCGGCCATCTACACCCCCATGGGGTCTAGAGCCCTTTAATCCCTCCAACCTCACAAGGACCATTACTACCTACACACCCATCCCTTCAGTTCAGTGGACCAGTGGAGACCTTGACCTCTAGACAGTGGACCATAATGGCTTTCCTAGGCAGTGCCTAGGTCGTCCTGAGGCTGGCTTCCTTAGGGAGCTGTGTATGCTGGGTGATGTGGTGGGGTTATCAGGATGGGGCCTTGGCCACAGGATGATGACCATTCTCCCCAACAGGTTCGGACCTCTGACATGGGTGGCTATGCCACTTGCCACGACTTCACTGAGGCTGTCATTGATGCCCTGTCCCACCCATAGGTCCTGCCCACACCCACATAAGGCGTTCAATAAAACCTATGTAATAACCAATTTTTTGTGGATTTATTTTTATTGACTGGGACTTAGGGAATGGAAAGGGAAGTGTCACTGTGGGGGCACACCCCACTCCCACCCCCCAGGGAATAATGTCCATTCTAATCCTCCTGGGAAGTTCTCTGAAGCTTTTTCTTCTTTTTCTTGGCACTGCCCTTATTGGCAGCAGCCTCCTCAGGCCCACTGCTGACTGGTTCTTCCTTTGAAGAAAGTTTTCTCTTTTTCTTGGGGACACTCCTGGCTGCCTCTTCTGGTTCACTAGCAGTTTCCTCCTTGGGTAAAGACTTCTTCTTCTTCTTGGGTGGACTTGTGCTGCCACCAGCTGTCTCTTCCATATCACTATTAATCAACTCTTCCTTGGAAAAAGATTTCTTTTTCTTGGGTTTGGAAACAGAGACAGATGGATCATCCATTCCGTTCTCCTGAGGCACCTCTTGGAGTTTTTGCTTTTTTTTCTTTTTGGGTTTTTCCTGAGTCTCCTAAAGCCAAGAAAAGGCAGTAAGAGGTATTATCTAGGATGTGTGTGTGCATTCCCCCATTAAAGTCATGGCAGAAAAGCAAACTGTCCATGCTTCTGGGGAGGCCAGTAACATTGGAAAGCCACCCCTAGAGCTACCCCCAATTACAAGTGAAGGAGAACATGTAAAGAGAATTTCTTCAGTCCTCTAACTTATACAAAAACCCTCCATGCTGGTCACAGTGGATCTATCAGCCAAATTACAAAGGAAAAACAAACCATGTTGCAAATGGCACTAAATGCCTTTAGAGAAATATTCTAGCCTGGCACACTGGAAACTTCCCTGCACCCATGCCAACTGTGAAATCATACCATTTCTGGATACATCTGAGAATAAGCAGAGCAGTAATTTACTGAAGAGTCCCTGGGAAGCAGCTGAGGACAGAACACAACTTGCCCAGGGAACAGGCGTGCACTATAACCAGCTCTCTGGGCTCTTGAGCAAGTTGTCTCAGCACCTATCTCCTTCCTATGTAGAATCAAGAGGTAGTTTTTTAGATATTTCAATCCAAAAGCCTGGACTCCAGACTGGGCTGAGGCAGGCAGCACACCTTCAGTTCTGCTGAAAACCCACAGCCTAGGATCCTAGAGGGCTGACTTGCCAAGACTGACCTCATGTTCCTCTGGAGTGTTACTGTTTTCTGAAGATGCCAAAGCGGCCAGTGCAGCCAGGCGCTTCTTTTCCTTCTTTAAGCGCTTCTTCTCCTGTTTCGCCAGCTTCCTGGTGATTTCAGCAGCAGCTTCCTCTGCCTGGCAAAAGCAAAGTGCTGAAAAGGCCTGGAGTTCCATGTCTCACTATATAGTCTTCCAGCATTACTGGATCAGGCTCATTAAATCAGTTTTTTTTGGCCTCCATTATACAAGATCAGGTCAAGACAGTTCATCACCTCCAGCAGCCAACTGTTTTTCTACCACCCAGCAGAGCCCACTGACCTGAACCATTGCCTCCTTCATGACATCCAGATTCTTTCGTGGAATCTCTCCAGTCTCATAGAAGGACAGGCGCTCTTCAACTTGTTCCCGAAGCTTCTCCCCAAATACACTGGTGGGCACCTCTGATTGTGGGTGTGTGGGGGAGAAAAGCTAGTTAACCTCCAAAGTGATAAACCACCCCTCAGAATTCCCTCAACACTCAGCTTCACTCAGACCCAATATATCAACACTCATTAGAACTCTGTTGACGAAAAATATTACCATCATTGTAGAAGCTGCTAAGGTACTCAGCACCCTTTTCCTCCCAGCCCTACCAATTGCCAACCCTTCCACCCATACCAGAGAAGCAATCGATTCTGGAGGCAATACTGCACTTGTTCGCCAGGTATCGGGAGATGCGGCCTTTGTTCTTGGCAGCTGCTCGGCCAATGAAGGTAGAGTGGAAAATGAGTCCATATTTTGGTGTGTTACCCCTTGTCTTCAGGGCTCTGAGAATATTTAGTGGAGAATTTAATTCAATCCTATCAGCCAAGGTAGTTCCTCCCAAACCCTCCCTTTCCAAATCTCCAGCATGAGCCAAGCCTCAGGCTGGGCTGGACTGTTAACACATCAACCCACAACTCCCAGAGGCAGATGGAAGACATCCAATGTCGCTGACCTGGAAGCTTGATCCCTTTGCTGGGCCCTGGGAATCACTCAGACACCAGGACTGGCCATCACCCCCATATCAGAGGTCTGCATGGGTCAGGGCACCCTGATTAGCCATCACTGTGATTCCCATATAAGCAGTGCGCACCAGAAGTGGCACCTGATCTGGGCAGGTGCCCTCACGGGTACCTGAACAGGGCCTTTTCAGCCCCAAGGATCTGTACTGTGGATGCTGGATACTTGGCCAGGTTGGTGAGGCTGCCAGCATGAGCAATGAGACGTGCGCCTACCTGGAGAAAAATTTAAGGAAGTAGAAATTGCTGACCTGAGCTGCACAACCCCTGCTCTCCTCCTCCCCATTACACCCAACTGGAAAAGACATTGTGGGTCTAAAAATATAGCAGTGTGAATGGTAGCACTCTTGCTCCCCACCATGTGTGTTCCCCATGACGCACCGCTTCCCCAATTAGGGCTGACAGGCTGGGGGCTACTTGGCTCATCTTGGAGCGGAGGTAAGTGTGTAGGCTCTGGCGGTACTCTGACAAAGACACCACTCGACTGGAGAAGCTCTCGATGTTTATCAAGTCGATGGCAGATATGTCCATGCCTAGGAAACACCTAGTGTGAACAAAGGCTAGAGATTCGGAGTCCCGTACCTTTTGCCAGCTGCTAGCCTTTTGCACTGACCCATGGAGGACCTCGAGGCATCCAGGATAGCCTTAGCCTTGGCTCCATCCATTGTGAGCTCCTCCAGCTTCTCTAATTTTTCCTCATTCAGCTCCCTTCGGTTTCCAATGAATTGAGCAAGGCGGCAATAGGTAGCATTGTCATTGATGATCTTCACCAGCTCTGGAAAGTGATACCCATACCACTCCCTGCAAAGGAGAATAATCACTCTGGCCCAGCTGCCACACCTTTAACCTTTTCCATGCCTGTGTTATCCGGAGATTACAGAGTAAGTCAGATTCAAATCTGCCTCAGGCCTTATGTTTCCCCATTCACAATACAGACAAGGCACAAGGCCTGGGCTGAGGTGTACATGGGGCAGGTTTACTCTTCCTCCTTTTTCTATACAGTCAGTGTAAGAACACTGCCTGTGGTAAGCACCAGGAGGCACTACTGTAGCCCACATGGTCCCACCCTCAGGATGAAAAATTAGCTAAACTACAGATCAAATACTGCACTTTACCTGACACGCATAGAAAAGGTATTGATGTCTTTGTCCAGCTGGTCCAGGAGGCTGATGGACTGGATGATCATGTTGTCTACCCGGTTCACATTAAATTTTACTTTGGCACGAGAGTAGCTGTGTCCCAGCCCTAGCTGGGCTTTACAAGCTGACAGATCTGTCAGACCCTTAACCAGGTTATGGAAGTGCAGACGAACTCCTAAGAATAAGGTAGGACTGTTAGCAGGGGACTTAGGCTTGTTCCCACACCCAGAGGGTAGGCATTCCCAGAAGCAACCTCCAGGATCCTAGTATGTTTCCAGAACCCCCCTTAAAGTTGTCAAGAACTGCAGGAGTACTTCACCTCGCAGGATCTCTGCTATCACGCCTCCAGTCTGGCAGGTGTATCCCAACTCCTCCTGTATAGCAGCACCAATCTTGGGGTCCCCAACCCCCAAGAGTACTTTCTTCTTTTTGGCCGGCAGGTGGGTCTCCAGGAGCAGACGGAGGTCCTCATGAACAATGCCTCAGGGAAAAGAACAGAGCTTCCACTAAAACTCTGAAGACTGCTTACATTACAAAAAAGATCTCATTTATCACTTCAGCTTATGCTGGTCCCACAGAGCATGACAGGATGGCATGCTTACAGGTTTCCCCTTCAGGCATTGCTCAGAGACATGGAGACATCAGTGATTACATTCAGGGGATTGACAGATTTCTCAAGTCATCACTGCAAAGCCCGGCTTGACAATGGACTAAGATGGACTCAGGTCCAAAACCACCAGCATAAAATATATGAATATCATAACCTGTCCTCGAACATTCAGTACCTGATTTACCTCCTAGGACCAAACCCCCTTTTCTTGACCTTTATCAGAATAGCCCTTCCCAATAAGTTGGAAGACACAGAAAAAAACTACATACAGTACTTATGTGTAGGTAGGCACAGCACCCACCCATTCCATCAGGAATTATTTATCATTATAACACCAACAAGGAAATAAACCCTACACGTGGGATTGTGTGCCATCGAAATTTAGTCTTTCATACTTGTCAGACCTTGAGCAGTCAGGACCAACTGTTTTAGATCCCATCGTACAAATCTCAAAATCTGCCCAGTACACATCACATACGCGTAACAAACCACTCAAAGGCAAATACTGTTATTAACCCACTAAGAGGACTATTAGCAGGAATCACATCTCAGTATCTCCCTATGCACTCACCTTCAGACACTGCATTGGCATTTTCTAAGGCAACCTGAGAAGAGGAAAATGGACAAAAGGCCACCAGGCGAACGATGTTGTGGAACTTGCCCAAGTTGAGCACACACTCCTCCACCTGTGAAGAAAATGACGGACGACTTTTTTTTTGTTGCTCAAACCACTACAGTACAGTAAACGGCTGATTATTAAAACCTACCGATGCCTGGACCCTGCACCTCAAGTACTAACTTATCGCTACGGAGTACAGTAAGGGAGGCTTATACCTAGTCACTCTTAAGCGATTCTAACCAGGAATCAAGGTAAAGACTCTCTGCTCCAGGGGCTTCCAGCCTAGCCCCCCCACCCTGCGCGGCCGACCACGTGGGAGCGCGCGGTGCATGCTGGGGCTCGGCAGCCCGAAGGATGTAGTGGAGCCGGATGAGCTTACAGATTTCACCCACCTGCGGCAGCAGCAGACTGATCTCCTCCACTTCCTTCAGCGCCAAAAGCGCGTAGCCGACCGCGTGCTCGAAAAGCACGTGCAGCAGAACCTGGAACAGGAGCCGGGGCGCGTACGTCAGCGAGGCTCCCAAGCCGACCAGGCCCCGCTCTCAGAGCAGGACCAAGCTCAGGAACAGGCTGGAACCCAAAGCTTGACCCACGCCACGGCCTTCGCATAGCCCACAACCCACACCCACTCCTCACCATGGCGCTTGCTGTTTGCCCGGCTCGCAATGCGGCTAGCAAGCTCTGGCGCGCGGAAGCTGACTCCGAACGCCACGCCTTCTTCATATTGACCAATCAAAAGCCAGGGACGATACCATTATTGAGCATTCGGAGGCGGATTCACCAGGTGGTATAGTCCAGAGGTTGGGTGCTAGTGGCGAGAAGCGCGGGCTAACAGGCCTTTTCGGATTTCTGCGGCTGCGCGGGACGGAACTGGTGCTGGGGTCTTGGTGGTATTTCGCCCGGCCTGGAGGCTGCAAAATGGCTCGGGAAAGCAGTAGTGCAGCTAGTCCGATCCCATATGATCTCAGCAAGTATGTGGTGGGCGGCAAAGCTCAGTGCAGTCCGGCCGCTATCGCAGACAGGGTCGCAGAGGCAGCGCTGGTGACCTCTGGCTACAGACCTTGGGGTCCCCTCGTCCAGCTCGGGGACCACCCTCGGGAGCCCGTGGGCCTGCGCCATTTCCGCCTGTCCTGGACGAGAGTGAGGCCTGGAGCGTTCGGGTGCTAGCCCCCCCCCCCCCCGCTCCCGTCTTTATCATGCGTTTACATTTTCTTTAATGTTATTTTAAAAAACGAAAACAAGATGGTGACAGGAAATAATATGGAAAGAAGACCCCAAAGTCTCCCTACGCCGATTTCTTGCTGTGCTTCACGGGACCTAGCTCTTTCTTGCGACCACGTGTTGCTCTTGGCTGGGTTCGGCCTTAAGTTGTGCAATGCAAGTAGCTCCGAGGATTAGGGAGCTGCTTCCATGTCTGGCTGTGGGCGCTCAGGTGACGGTTTTTAAATTTACTTTTGGTTTAAATAATAGAGTTAAGTGCTTGCTTCGGCATCACATATAATACTAAAAAATAGAGTTAAAAAAATCCAAACCCTGGTTATCCTTAAGGAGTGTTTGCCTTGGTAAATTAATCTTTCTTGGGTTTTTGTGTGTTAAATTCTCACGACTGTTAGCCAGAATAGACACACACACACACACACATATATGTATATATACTTTTTTTTTTTTTTTTTGCCTTTTTCCTTTTTATCGGTACCGGGGATTGAACTCATGACTGCCTGCTTGCAAGGCAGGCGCTTATGCCGCTGAGCTAAATCCCCAGCCCCTGTACTATTTTTTTTTTTTTTTTTTTTTTTTGACAGGGAGAGAGAGGGAGTCTCATGTAGTTCACGCTGGCCTTGATCTCACTTCATAGCCCAGGCTGTCCTAGAACTTGCGGCGATCTTCCTGCCTCATACCTGGCTAAAATTTTTTCTTAACCAATTTGGTGGTTTGGTAAAAATCCAACTATTTCGCTTTTTAGTTCTCTCATAAGTTTATTTATTTGTTTTTTGGCTTTTTTGAGATAAGATCTTGCTATGCAGTTCAGGCTGGTGTTGAACACTGTAACCCAGGGTGGCCTTGAACTCACAGTGGATCCTCTTGCTTCAGCCTCCAAAGTGCAGGATCATAGGAATGAACCACTACACCTGGTCTATGGTTGGTGGATAATATTTTTTTAATTTCAAATCCGTTTTATTCAAACATGAAAGAAAAATTTAAAAAAACTACAATAAAATTTCAAAGAACATCAATTGGGGTAACAATGGTACATACATACATTGCACAGTTGGTGAATTTTAAAAAGCTCATAATCTCAATGTTAATTACAAATGTGGTTATACTGTTGCAGCTATCTACTTACAATCTTGAGTCTGACTTAGTGAATTACAAAATTTACCTGCCTGCTTTTGTGTTAGTCTTAAACTTTTTTATTTTTGTTAGGCAGGGTCTCTTGTGCTGTTTAGGCTGGCCTTTGAGCTTATTTTGTAACCCAGGCTGTTCTGGAACTTGCAGACAATCCTCTTGCCTCAGCCTCTCAAGTACTGGGATTACAGGCTTGTGCCACCAGGTCCAGCTGTCTCTTAAACATTTGAAAAACCAAATCAAAAGAATGATTACAAAATGTAATGGAAGATACCAGTGGCATGACTTTGGTTACATCATTATTTTTATACTTTATTCTAAATCATTGTGGCATAGCAGGAAGGGATTTCTAAGTGACAAGTCAGAATCCATCAATGGATTGAAAAATTAATTCAGACCTTCATGAAATCAAATTAAGGCCAAGTGTGGTGGGGCATGCCTATAGTCCCAGCAGGTGGAAGGCTGAGACCTGGAGGATTGATATTAGTTTAGGGCCAGCCTGAACTACATAGCAAGATCAAGTCTCAAAAAACTGAAATGAAAAAATAAAAGATAATATCAAAGAGACTAGGAAAAAAATTCATGTTGCACAGAGTAAGTATTGATTTGTAGAATGTCTCAGCTATGCATACAGATGTACACACATATATATACATATACATAAGCAATATAAATATTCCTAGATCAAGATAAAATATCCGTGAGAGTTACTCGGCCAAAAGGGAACCACAGTCATACTTAGGTTAGATTTCAAACTGTTGGCAACAAAAGGACTGCAGGAAGTAGTTTGCTGATTTAGGTGGCTGAAGAAAAGTATACTTGAACTAGTGAGATACAAATGCTCATCTGTAGCTGAGGGTTAAGTGTTCTTTTGGCTTCTTTACTTCCATTCCTTCATTGAAATACTTTCTCCTGAGTTTATAATCCTGACCCCAGTGTGGAGCATGTGATGTCGTAGTGTTGAGGCTCAGCTGAGTCCAGGAATCATATGACACCTAAGAAAGTCAGAAGGCAGTGAACAACTTTATTTTACACTGGTGGTCCTGGCTGGACTAACTTCAACAAAAGCCGGGTGGTAACTGAGCTAGCAATTTTATATGAGGCATAAGCAAAGGTTCTAAAGGACAGGACAGCCTGGCAGTTCTGATTGGCAGGGTGAGATAATCGGTTATAAGGCTGAATTAGTGACCATCAGTTAAAAGACTAGATTAATGATCACAAAGCTCGGTGCAATCAGATTTGGTTACGCGCTTGTGGTTACAAGGGTCAGGAAAGCAATTACAGAGCCATGAAACAGAGCTAGACAACTCTGAGGAGAACAAAGTTTTAAAAAGAACAGTTTTTCTCAGTACAGTTTTCCCTTGCAATAGACTGACAGCTCCTTTGGACTAGAGGATAGATTTATTATTCCAGCCTAGGTTCAGATTTTTACGACCAAAACCTGTCTTCTCCCTCCAAGCCTATCATCCTCTCTACTGCTTGAAAGACCTAAGGCCTCTTACCCATTCATGTTCTGTTTGTGGGTATTTGTAGGGGGATGAAGTAATGGGAGAATTGTACAGCTCAGTATCCCAGGATCCTGTGTGAGAGCTGGTCTTCAAAAACGTCCACCAGGGGCTGGGGATTTAGCTCAGTGGCATAAGCACCTGCCTTGCAAGTGTGCGGTCATGAGTTCGATCCCTGGTACCGATAAAAATGAAAAAGATCAAACAAATAAAAACATCTGCCAATGATCTGTGCCTCCTGATACCAGGCCTTGTGTCCTACATTGAACTGGGTTGGCTCTCACTTGCTTTAGTCAGTGGACTGTGGTGGAAGTGATTCTTTGCCAGTTGTAGGCCTCAACCTTTTGCATTCTGGGGATCCTTGAATTGCCTCATCTAAAGCACACTTATAGGCCAGGTGTGGTGGTCCATACCTGTAATCTTAGTGCCTAGGGATTCCAAGGCAGAAGGATTACAAGATTGAGTCAAAGTACAAAGTAAAAAGGACTAATTTGTAGCTCAGTGGTATAACAGTTTCCTAACAGGTATGAGGCTCATGGGCTCAATCTTCAATACTGAAAAAAAACCTATTCTGCTTAGTGAGACATGTGGAGAGGGAGAGGCCCTGCGAC